TATTTAAAAGCAAGCACTTGACTTAAAAGTCAGTAACATTGGCCAACTACAAAACAAAGATATGATAAAAAGGAATGAGATGAGTAGAAAGTGAGGCAAAAAGAGTGTTACTAGCTAGTAACACTCTTTTGAATAAAGCAGAATTTTACTACCTTAGTTCACCGTTACCTCATTACCAACATGTTGCTCAATGTCAACATTCACGAGCCTACGCAAGTGACCCGTATTCTTTAATCTAGCTTGACCTATTTCACCTAGATTAGGTTTAAGTAAATTGTTACCATGTACAGGCGAACCTTCAGTAGGTGAGTTAACTCCACTATCAGCACTGCCATTGCTTAGTGAGTTGCTGCTACCACTATTAGCTAAGTTATCACTCTCACTACCAGATATATTGTTTGGTGATAAGAAGGTACCATAACTTGGGACATACGGCCTAGATGTAACAAGAGGAGTTGCTCTATCTTCAGTATGTTCACCAGCGTAACTGCCACGTCTACTTTCAGGCAAGCTTTCACTGAGTGATGTTTGAGAGGTAGCGTCACTCTCCAATCCTGAATCATCGGATACTGCTTTAGGTTTTGATTTAAACCATCCGAAAAGTTTTGGTTTGCTTTCTGCATTTGAAGCAGCATTTGCACGTTCTTGTTTGTATTCCAAGAATTCCTGTACTGCCTCATGTACAGCACTATTGACTTCTCCATGATGATCAGCAAGAGCAGTTTTGAATAAGTAAAGATCCCTAGGCGCTGATTTGTATTCACTATCAAGAAGGTTACCCAATTTTTTAAAATTCAGACCACTAATAAAATTTTTCTGTTTTGTCCACAGTTCGCAGTATTCTTGTGCTTCCTCTCTTGCGTATTCTGTTGCATTAGGGTCTTTTGTAATGTTCTCCTGAGTTGTTATCTTCAAGCCTAGCTTAAATGCTACTTTTCCCATCGTAGCTGCCACAATAGACTCCCGTTCTTCTTGTGAAAAATCTGGATTACCAAGAACTTTATCCTGAAGCACTTTCACTGCTTTCTTGCAGTTTTCTTTTGTAGTTTCATCAAGATTCGTTAGTTCTTCTGGGTGATTGGTCTTACCAGCCAGCTTTTCCAACCGATTTGCTACACTGCGTAACCCATCGCTAGTCGCTTTTCTTACTTTTTGATCTGCAGCAGCATAAGCGCTTGCTATCTTCCCCGCAGCAATTTTAGTACCCTCAATTGTTTTTTTCGCTGCCCAATTAAATCCTTGACCTATTTTTACACCTGCGATTCTAATTAAACCCAAACCTCCACCTATTAGAGCACCTACTCCAAATATTCCACCAAGTACTACAGCACCTATCCCAACAATTGCTGCAATTGGAACTCCTACAGCAATTGCTCCACCTATTACACAAGACGCTTTTAGTTGCTGTCCTGATGACCATTTAGAAAATGGTGTTTCAGGGTCTGCACCAACCAATTTAGCAAGGTTTTGTCTTAGTTTTTCTACATAATTCGGGCCTTTTTCATCACCTGCTTCTGACTCGTGGTCTAAATCGTCACCATAATCAGGACTGCTGTCGTAGCCTTCATCATTAAGATGACTTGATCTGTATGGACGTGATGCATTATCGAAGTTTGCTAATCTAGTGGGATCAGCTATAACGGGAGCAAAGTTTCTAAGAACTTTTACATCTCTCTGATTGTTAACAGCATCGCCAAATGGTTCATGAGACGCGGTAACACTGAAGTGGCTCCAATCAGCAAAGTTATCGGTGAAACCAGCATCTGATTCAACATCATTATTATCACCCCCAATTTGGCTAGGATTTCTCTGGGTGTTGCCATTAAAAAGCTCTAAAAATGGATTATCTTGGCTAATACGCCTTGATGTATTTGCATATAATTCATTTACTTTCTTTGTAACAACTACAGGAACATCATCGAAGTCTCTTAATTCAGCAACGTCGTCACTGGCATTACTGCTAGTAATGCTGCTATCATTTCTCTGAGCGTTAAGTTTTTTATCATTTTTTGTGTTGTATGGCATTTTATCCTCAATATTAATAAACATGCTTTAATTGTATATTCTCAATTATTAAATTAGTATTAAAATTGCTGCAAATATTAATTTTTTGCTAAATAATTTCGCTTGACGCTTTTTCTTGTACGTGTAGAAATTTATAAAGTATGAAAAAAATATTCATCTTGCTAATTGCTATAATACTGGTGGGTTTACTTTTGCAGTATTACACCAGTTGCCATGAGGATATTATACACCTTAAGGGTGATGAATTTAAAAAGAAACCGGAAACTTCAATAGAGTCAACTATACTACACAGAGAAAGAGAAGTGTATGATAATATATTATCTTCTACTAATTAAGTAATAATTTATATTTGCATCTTTTTATTAGGTAAGTAAGATCAATACATTAACCATAGAACAAATAGTTATGTCTAATGAGTACAATCCTTGGGATTTTGGTAAGAAGCCAAGAGACAATAGTAATGAAGATGCCTTGAGTAAGGCTATATCTGATTTAAGGCATTTAGTTGCTTATCTAACCAAAAACAGAGGCAAAAAACCTTATTTTGTCATTTTTGTGATCTTGCTGATCTATGTTTGTACCGGCTTTTATATTGTACACCCAAGTCAAGAAGGCGTGGAGCTTACTTTCGGTAAATATTCTAATACAGAAACATCTGGGTTACGTTATCATTTCCCTTATCCTGTTGGTAAGGTTTTAAAAGTCAATGTGAAGGAAATAAATCGAGAAGAAATTGGAGTCAGTAGTTCTTACATTCGGGATGTAGACCGCGGGGAGGGCGTTATGCTCACAGGAGACGAAAATATAGTAAATGTTAACTTTGAAGTGCAATGGCGCGTTAGAGATGCAAAGGATTACTTGTTCAAAGTGCGTGACTATAGACCTGGTTTAAGTGTGAAAAATGCTGCTGAAAGTGCTATGCGAGAAATTATAGGTAAGAATACTATTTCTTTTGCACTAGAGGGACAGGGCAGAGCAGAAATGTCTCGAGATGCTAGAGCT